AAGAAGGTCACCAAACCTTCTTCTAAATTATCTGTCCCTCCATCCGTCTTGTGCTTATCCAATTCAGGACCGGGTCAGGGATCTTAAAATTATAGTCCATTAATTACACACTTCAAAAAACCATGCATGGTTCTGTGAGTGTTAAAGGAAATGATTACCTTTACTCACTTTTGAGTCAGAAAACAACAAGCATGGCTGCTACTAGTAATATTATTTATGTGAGGTACAATCAAAGCCGGCCATCAAGCACATTAGAACACCCACAATGAAAGCAGTCATTATTAGTGTTATTGGATACATCTGAGTTTAATAAGTCAAGATGTCACGGCTAATGTATTTCATTCATTGTTTGAAAAAATGTGATAAACATTTTATTTTTTGCTGGAGCTGATAAACAAATGTTTTTCCATTTAATTTTGTTATATAATTACTATGTGAAGAGTTCGATTTAATGGTATCTCTTTGTATGTGTGTTTTTCAGGGGTGGCATGATACAGACGTGTGAGCAGTACCAGTTTGTGCATCACGTCCTCAGCTTGTATGAGAAGCAGCTTTCTCAAACTGCTGAGGAATAGATGGAGCACAACAGCCACACCCAGACCGAGACACACCACTGTACACGTAACCGCCTCAGGTGGTATGCACCACTGTACCTAACATCATCTCAATCTCACCCTTTAACAAGTTCAAACCATGTTGTTCTCTTCACTCAAGGCAGGGTCACTCAAACAGAACTGAATCTGTGCTAATTGTGCGTGGTTGAGTAGAACAAATATAGAGGAGGTGTGATGTGAGATAACTCACCCGAAAATAGTAGTAACGCAGTCCCATCGATCCATGTGTTCTTGATAAGTTGAAGCAGTCACACCTAAAATAATCCAAGCCAGCACTCTCGCCTTCATTTCATTTGCACTGCTAAGGTTTCCATCACACCACTGCACATTAGTCTCCGTCATCGAGGCCTTGTTTTGCACTTGGTCTAAAACAGCTTCCTCGTGTAATGATTGTACAGTTATCGAAAGGTTAGACTGGAAGTATAATCAGATCGCCTGCAGTGGTGTGACTTACCTGTAAGGAAATGAAAGAAAGTATGTGTTGACAATAAGGGCCCTTTACAGTATAAGTGCCAGCATCGTTTAAATCTACAGAGATAATCAAATGCCAGCCTAATATTTAACTATACTGATATAAAAGTTCATATGAAATGTAAAAGTAAATGACGTCTAGCCTTTTCTCTCAATTTCAATGTAAAAAAAAAAAAAAAAAAAATCATTACAGAAGGCCTGTCTCAACTTTTGCTGCATTCAAGAGTCACCTCATCTTCAGGTTGCATGGTGCTAAGTGTTCATTAAAGGCATGTGCAATGTTATGGAACATAGGAATGTATAACGATTAGGTTATTAACTAACTAATTAGGATTTCTGTGCAATCTACAGTATTACAGTTTTACCATGCTGCCTGTGCAGTCCTCATGGCCCATGATGTTTACAGTAAACAACTTCTGCATTAAGGCCACATAGACGTTAACTCAGAGGCGTCACAGAGCCAGGGATACTGAGGGGACAGAGGCCAGAAATAGAATCACACCATTAGAAAAATCAATGCAGGAGCTCCGGAGAATCCATTGTGCACAATCGACGTTTCCAGTGACACACATGGGAGGATGTAATGAAGAGGAAAGCAAAAAAAAAAAAAGTTGCATAAACAATACACCATAAACATAAGGATATTCTTGTAAATGTCCAATTTTCTATCATGAAGCTTGTTGCCCTCAGAGTTTCAAGTTCTGCAATGCCTCTGCTTTAAACAGTAGCTTGAACACATCTGTGAAGTAAGAAGCCCATGATTGTTGTATAGACAGGCCAGGCCTAATCTGTATGAAGCACAATAGACCAACAAAGGTTGTCTCTCCGATGTTCAGCTGTAAAAGTTCTTTTTTTCTGTGTTGTGTTTTGATTGTGTTGAGTTTAATGGATTGCATGTGCTGTATGGGACTCCATAGGTCCACAATCAAAGCGACGTGATTGGTTGTCCTGCTTTTTGTTGTGTAAAAGGGTTTAAGCCTATTATTATTGCTTGCTCTCGGCCAATGCTTTTGATACAGTTTGCTTTTGTGAAACCAACCAGAGATATTTTTAGAACATTTTGATACAATCCTTTCGAGTAGATGCCTTGTGTATATTTCCGTTTACACCATGATGGAATGTAGCTCATACTGTGGATCAAACCATCGGTTTATATTGCAAGATTTAACGGAACAAAATGTGACAACTACCTAAGTTACCTTACAGTACAGAAGATAAATAGATTATGTTCGGTCTTCAGTATTATTACTTTAGGTCTTTAGGCTTTGCTTTAATATGCTTTGCTTTCTGTGTACGTTTTTATCGTTTTCTTGGAGAATTTTACCTCAGACTGAGTTTTCACACAGTCCCCACTCTATTCTATCTGTGACTCGAGGCCACTCTCAGTTGACAACACGAGAAATAATCGCTATGTGTAAGGCAGCTAAAACAGTGAAGACAGTTTTCTACAAAAAGTCAAACAACTTCTATCTTGACTACCATGACGCTTCAGATCAGTGGCCCCGGACGTTATCAGAGGATGAACTTACCAGAGTAGGCTCGGACCGCTTTATAAATAAGACATCAGCCGGGAGAATATAACTGCCAAAATGACCTTTTACAGCAGCACCTGGTTGAGACAGACAAGAAAGGCTACAGTGTATTGTCAGGCATGTGACATAATCCTCTGATAATCTCCAGTCTACTTGATTGAAAAGCTTCTATTTTGAGTGTTTGTTGTCCGTGCTTACTTGGCCTTCTTCTGAAGATCAAAATGGGGATGACTTAATAGCCAAACAGTCAGACGTACAACCAACCAGCAATCAGTATTCCTCTCCTCTGCTACAGTATCGCTTTAAGTTGTGACTTTTTGCATCCAAATAAAGATAGATTTTCATGAATTTGTGTTGTTGTATTTTTTTTAGAGTTACTCTGTCCTGATCATCTGATCAGTCTTTTTTCCACCCCCTTTGGTTTCATGCTGACAGGCTGCAATCGCACACGTTCACCGCTAGGGGTCAGTATATGCGATCTAATGACACACATTGCCAAACCTCCCTGCAGTCAACTGTTTGCTCGCTGACAGAGTGTTCAAAGCAACAAAACAAAGGCTTTTGTTAATCTAACAATAGAGAGCTGATGAATTCAATGAATTCAGTGAATTTACTTGGCGGTGAATTCAAACACCAATCATCCATTCATTGCAGAAACCGGGCTAAGTGAGAATGCGATACTGTAGATCGATCAGTTTTCGTTTCTTGTACATTATTTTTAAAACACTATCTGGAAAAACATAATCAAAATTAAATCAGTGGCATCCAAATGACACTTCAGCGTAGCCTGTATCTTTCACAAAGAGAAACGGGCAGCTCAGTAGTTTGCAAGTGCAATTCAGCTTAAATCGTTTGGTCCATGACGAAGAACAAATACGAAATAGATTTTTAAATATTAATAATAGTAATAGTCAACCATCCAGGGCTGCAAACACTAGGTGAGCCTGTTTTAGAAAATCTACTTTTACAAAATTTGGCTTTTACTTGTTATGAAGTAACAGAGACACGAGTCTGAGCTGCATGCTCATATCGGGGTTTTTTGTATTTTTTTTTTTTTTAAACCCTTTTTTTCTAAGAAGAATACATTTCTTCTTCAGGGCAAAAACACAGAAATCGACTCCAAATAGCTTTACATTTTTACCGTAGGCCTAACCTCAGGAAACGAACCGGAAGAAAGAAATTCAGAAAAGTAAAATAGAAAAAAAACAAATAAAAAAAAAGGTATAGTGGTTCCCTGCAAAACTGTATTAATGCTTAAGAAAATGACTTGCAAATTTTTTGCATTTAAATTCTGAGATCAGACTGCCGTGTAGTCTAAGTGAATACACGTTATTAATCCCAAAACGGGGGAAATGATAATTTCGCAGAAGCCAAAACATTAAGGATAACCTGCAGCAACACAGCGTAAATGAGGCAGAATAGCTGAAACACACCTACAACATAACGAGACAATTGAGCAATATATAGCTCAATAAGGCATAAAAGAGAAACAGAAAGAGAAAGGAGCACATAAAAATAAAACAAAATGAAACATTTAAAAGGTGTTATGTGATTTGTATTTCATAATAATTATTTGAATATAATAAAATAAGGAAATAAATAAAGATTCATATTATCCCTCATTTTTCTGTGTGTAAGGCAGTTTAAAAAAAACACACACACACACACTCAACGTGAGTGCGTCTCCTTTAAAAAAGAAAAAAACCCGGACTGTCCCTTTAATCCGCAGATCAGATCACTGACGTCACCCTAGTCCTAAACCGTCGCCGCTGATTGGTTGGAAGTGACGTCAACCTCACAGTTTCCTTTTTTCCCCGTCTCCCTCCTGAACCATGACCTCATCGCTTTAGTTCATGAAAGTGCTAAAGTGCACCTTCCGTACCTAACCACCCCCTCCTCCTCCTCACACACACACACACACAATAACAGCTAACAGTTTTAGCCTTCACCTAGCCTAGTAAAGCTAATCTTGCTCTCCACGAGCCAACTGAACGGCTGAGGAGGCCGTTTGTAGCCTATCACCGCGCGCTTTCATGCCTGGTTTGCTCCTGGCGCTGTCATCCTCTGTCAGCTGAGGTCTTTACTGTACACCCCGCAACACCGCCAAGTAAACACCGGCCAGCCCCCATGAAGACTCCGCCACTGTCCCCTCACACATGGAGGCCAGTTGAATAACACCCCGCAGACGCATGGAGCCCGAGGTGAGTGCTTGAGTGTGTTTGTCAATTAGCAAGAAAGGACATTTGTTTGTTTGAATCGCCTGCTCGTTGTCTGTGCTCGTGCCCAGCTCGCTGCTGCTGCGGCAAGTCCGTCATCTCGCACTCCTCCCCCCTCTTTAAGTGCGCGCCCGTCTCATAATGGGAATAAACCTCGTCCAAGCTCAAGTTATCGATCGTTTTATTGGGGTGCAAAAAAATCGCTGTGCCGGGTTCCTATTGTAAGGTAGGTGTATTAGCTTTCTTCCCGAATTTTCTGTTTAATGTTCGCGCTGGTTAAAGTCATCACAGCCTTCCCGATCAATGGAGAGGGTTCATTTTCGCATGCGGACATATCCACGCGTCATAACAAACCCAGGGCAGGTTTCCCACTCAAAACAACCTATCTGTAAGTGTGGGGTATAACAATAGTTGATGCTGACTATATCCGACGTTTTTTTAAAAGCAGTGCCTGCTGTCCGCACTGGAGTCTATTCTTATTTCTAATGTAGGTCGGTTTATTGTAGTGCGCTGCGACCGCTCAGCCTCCATCATTTTGAACGCTGGTAAACGATACACAACGCCTTGTCTGTTTTTTGTTTTTGTTTTTGTGTTGTGTGTGTATGTATATGTGCGCCCCCATCTCTGATGATGTCTGTATTTGATTTTTCAGAGCATTTCTATATGTACACATATTTATTTGACGATGTATTTTTGTATCAGAGATTCTTGATATTATTTACATTTACATTACCTATCATGT